AAGTACTCCTAAAACTACATTTATGTCCAAAAAGTTACTCATGTAATTGAGTAAATGTAACTAGTAACTAACCAACTCTGTCCACTTTGTAATGCAGTTGGGAGTTGTGGACCAAATTGGCAGGAGTTTTGGCTTTTTGCATCCCTGAAGCATGAACGTTTGAGTTCACAAACCAAGGAAAGAAATAAGGCAATGACAACAGAAAAATAACTGTTGCTGCTCATGAATCTGTTAAGGCACAGGTGTCAAACTCAAGGTCCAGGGGCCAAATCCAGTCCTCCTCCGCTTTTCATGTGGCCCTATATACTCCAAAGAGACATATAAATAGAATCTTGAAGATAATATTTGCTTAAGTATTATTGTACCGATCAAATCAAAGCAGTTTTTATCTGTGAACTGCAAAATGCAAAGTTAACAAATCAAACTTGACAAAGTAATATCTCATATCTTTGACTTTTATAAGTTGAAAAAAATAAATAGCTTGACAACACTGACCCCTAGTGACCAATCTGCAGAACACAGAGAGCTCCAGACAGAAAACCATTCCTGTCACCAAAGTTTAACAGCTTGTACTTCAGCAGAATAGATATATTGTATGAATTAAAATGTAAAATATTATTTGAATCAATTGTTCCTAAAAGGCAAAATTTAACACTAATATTTTTTTTATTTTTAAAAAATTATCCAATTCCTTCTCTAGAAGAAAGTCAAGCTTTTAAACCATAATATGATTCTTCTGAAAGTCCCACAAGTCATGAAAATGTATTAAATTAAATAGAGTAATTGTGTGGTATCAATGGGAAGAAGTGTTTTCTTACTATTCAAAAATAATGTATTGATCCCAAAGGAAAATTAAATGTTTAATTCAAATTCTTCAAAGAATCATTATATATGGGAAAACTTGGGAGTTTCAAATGTTAAAAAAAAAAAAATGAAAGAAAGAAAGACTTGGGAACTTTTGAGGGTTTTTTTCTAGAAAATATCTGAGATTAATCTCAAAATGTCAGATTTGTTTTCCTTTTGAGCTCAGAAATTTTCTTGCTTTTTAAGGAAATTTATAAGATTATTCTCAAAGTTTCTGAGTTTTCTTTTGGCAGAAATTTACTCCTTTATTTTCTTTAAACAATGACCCATGTTACAGAATAAAGACAACTAACTATTGTGTATAGTTTCTTCATCGGAACAGAACCCATCTCAGGCAGACTACCAGAACCCCAGTGGACAGGCTGGTTCTGGTAGTTACAGCAGTTAGCCAGTCGTTCAGTACTACAGTAGAACCAGTGGAACTGGAGGTTCTGACAGCGGTTCTACCCCTGGGACCCAGCAGAGTGGCCAGCAGGGGGCTCCAGGTGACAGCAGCCCTCACCAGTCTGCAGAGGAGAGCTGGAGCTCTTCATCTGGTACCAGCGGTACCAGACCCTAAGCCGATCTTCACTCCTGTAGATGACGAGGATCAAGTCTACGCCTTCAAATCCAGGTCGCGTTACCGCAAGGAGCTGAGGTTCAGCCAGTTCTGCTACACCCCAACAGAACCAATTGTCCTCCAGCCACCAGTGTTTCCCCATCCTGGGAAAAGCCTCACTATCCAGGGAAACATCCTGACCATCCAGAAGAGGTTAGGGTCCTGAAGAGTCCTGAAGCTCTCGGTGGTGAGGCTCAGTTCACGGACTGGTTGGTGTCTGATGGCTTATGCTGATTCTTGTCTGTCTCCAAGGATGAGCTGCTGCATCAAAACTTGTAATAAAATGTCTGGAGAAACAACTCAATGCTTTGTATCTTAAGGCATAAAAGAGAAACTTAATTTGGTGGTTCTCGTGATCATGGTCCACTAGACTTATTTTAGCCTTAGCCACTTGTAGATGCACTAGACTAAATTTTTATGAGGACCTTAGGTTTGTCTCCTATACCATAGGATATTCGTGCAACTTTAATTCAGTGCCTAATGTCTGAACTTGGAAGAAGTCTTCAATTTTTATGTGCCATCTTTTTGGGACTAGTTACAGAAATGCATGACCCTAAAGTTACTGTTTTGAGAATAACTTTTCAAATTCCAGCTGAGGAATCTTTAACTTTCTAATCTGTGTGCTGCCAGGATTCTTTCCGCAAAAACTTTATTGGTGAAATCTTGCAGAGTCCTTTTGAGAAAAGCAGGGATCAGGACTGAAAGCTGCTGTGGTTTTCAACTGTTCATCCAAAATGAACTTCAGTTTGTCCAGAAGATGGCACTAGTGTCAAAATGAAGTTTAAGCTTCGGATGACTGAAATGCTCTTTATCTCAATCTGCTGCATAAAACTTCCTTTTGATAAACTCTGCCATGATGAGACAACTGACAAAAGGTCAGCTGGAATAGACTTCAGGCTTATCCAAACTCAGATTTGAGGTACAACTGACCTTTAGGCCACTATTAAACCAGAACTTCTGCTTCTGTAAATGTATTTAGTTCAAGGGTCGGAAACCTATTTCAGTTCAGAGCCACTTTTGCCATCGCCACTAAGAAATTTAATTTGTCTACAAAAAGTTTCCTCATACCACTTTTTCTTAATATTATCAAAAACCTGTCCTAATTGGTTTTTAAGAGCCACAGTACGGAGGCCAAAGCACCACATGTGACTCAGGAGCCAAGGGTTGCAGACCCCTGGTTTAGTTGATCTGGTTTTTCCCAAGTTTGCTAAAAATCAAAATCATACTTCAAAACCATACTTAATTGGTATAAAGCAGTGATTTCAAACTCCAAATGATGGAGTCCTGCAACTTTTAGATGTCTTTGCTTCAGCACACTTGGCTCCACTATTAGCTTGAAGGCATGTTGGTGTGATGGTTTTGCCATATAATTCAAGTGTTGGACTAAAAGTTGCAGGACTCTACATATCAAGGACTGGAGTTTGACACCACTGGCATACGATGTTCCCTCTAATCATAAATGTTTTTGTTTTTTTACATGAGTCTCTGCTCAACGCAGCTGATTCAAAAGGTCCTATGGGGGAAGTTTTCTGCCATAAGACGAGACCACACATTTGCAGTTTGAAAGGAGGACTTCATGTCTGTCTTCTCAAAACTTGTAATGATTGTACTCAAAACTTCTGCTCTCTAGAAGTCAAGGTTCCCCCAGTGTTTTATCAGCCTGCCGGGTCAGCAGGCTAAGCTTTGTTTATTTTAAAAGGATTTTTATACTACGGTAATAACATCTAAACCGCTAAGTTACATCTGAATCCATCCTGGTTCCCTTCATACACTGGTGCAAACGACAAAGAAGCCAACAGGAAGTAGTTGAAGGAAGCATTTGTTTCAATGACTGATATGAACAAACTTATTTGCATGATTTTTAATTGCGTTTCTTATTTAAGGGAAACACTGCAATTGCGAAATTGTATTTTTTCCCCACATTAGCAAGATACTGGCAAAGTTTTGTGCAAATTTGTGATGGAAACGCGACTACTGAAGTCACCCTCCATTCTCAACTTTCATGTCTTCCACCCAGAAGTCTTGTTCATCCAGATGTACCTTTACAAACCCTTAGTATGTCATATTTTTATAAATAACTTTCAACTATTCCAAGCATCCCTATTTGGGTCTATTTATTTTGAACTGTAACATCTAACATGCTGGGGCCTGCAGGCTCAGAGGTGGAGCTCTTTTGTTTCTGAGCAGTGAACGCCCAGACTCTGGAATGACTATGTTGGGATGTGCTGTGAAGACTGACAGCTGTAAAATGAAGGATTTCAGTTTGAAAGTGGCAGCCACAGTTGCTTCTCTAAGAATATCACTTTAAAATAAGAGCAAAACAAATATTTGGGCATAACAATTCACAAATTGTGCATAAAATCAGAAAAACAACTCTGATTATTTGGTCCCATGTAGACTTGAAACACTAATCTTGGCAGTATGTTGGAGTAGATCTGTTGCATTCTGACTTGTTTGTTTTGTCCATAATTGTTTTGGTTGAGGCATTGCAATGTTTGTAGAATCGTTGCTTGTGGCAACAATGTTTTGTGAACAGCTGATTCCCATCCAAAAAGCTCAAATAACGCCTGAACTATGACTCCCAAAGGTGTTGAAAAAGAGGCTTAATAAATGCAGAGCATGACCAAAATAATAAATAGCAAATGAGGTGGATTAGCAGAGCTTGCTAATAAGTGATGGTGTCATCCAGGACATATCACCATGGAATATCATTACTGATGGGCAGATACTGAGCTGCTGGTGTGTCTTTACGGTCATGAGGCTGTCATACAACAACAGTCTACAGTCAGAGGCCTCTTGAGATTTGTTGCCAGACTGACTGCTACTGAAGATTGAAGATTTTTCCTGCCTGCACAATCATCATTCACAATGACTAAAGAGAGTTGGATGATATCATTTACAACATTTAATTTTCCTTAGGGATGAGTAGAATATTTTGGAATCAAAGTTTTTCATTTAGATGTGACTTTGCAAAGGGTGCTATTATATTGTTTAGATAGAACAGACTTTCTTCTGGCAAGCTCACTAGTTAAACACAAATCAGTACTAAAAAATCCATAATTTGATAGTTACTGCTGATTTTCTCTGAGCTAGCGATACTTTGTAATTACTGGTAGATTGGCTTTTTTCTATGGTTGTTTGTAAATAGAGTAAAATAGTTTTGTCTTGTTTTTTAGCCTAATATTAAAATTAGTTTTATGTGAAACACGCTATTTGATGCTTAAATTTGTTTACCAAGGTTTGATGTATTTATTTATATAACTGAATCAAATTACCTTTATAAACTGTGCTATATAAATCACATGGCCCCTATAATAATGTGAACACAGCTGAAATGAGAGCCTTCATTTGTCTGTAACCCGCACTCTATCTCACCCCTATCTGCTCAACCCTACATCCGAGGCAAACAAAACGTGACACAGCTTGTCACCTTACTGCTTTTCTCTGCAGTCTGTCGACCCAGCCAATCACAGCAGCCCAGTTTTGTAATTCATCTTGACGTTTCTCCATTTGTCCAATCAGGGAGCAAGCCAACAACTAGGCACGCCCGCTGTTCAGTAAACCCCGGTTGTTGCTGCTGGTGAAGTTTTCTGAAGTCCCGCTGATGTCCTCGTTTGTCCCCGTTTTTCTGGATTAATGCTGACTTTCTGGTGGATTTTATTCTGATGGTGGAATAAGAGGGAAGCATGGTGGTGAATTCCGTGCACTGGTTCCGCAAAGGTCTTCGGCTGCATGATAATCCGGCACTGCAGGAGGCCCTTAACGGAGCGGACACGGTACGCTGTGTTTATGTCCTGGACCCTTGGTTCGCCGGAGCCGCTAACGTCGGGATCAACAGATGGAGGTCTGACATTTTTTGACATCATCTCATAAACCTTACAGTTACTTTGAATTGTTTCCAGGACATTATTTATGTCGTTCGGAGGGTTTATCAGGTCGAGGGTTCTTATGTTTTTATGTGCAGTCCTCAGAGTTAAGGCCTTGGCCTCCGCTCTGTTAGCTAAAACTAGCTCATAAGAAACTCCACAAACAAAAGTCACAATTTTAATTGATCCTCAAATATTACTTCAGTGTGTACGTTTACAGAAAAGCAATTTGATCCTTAATGTGACCTAATTAATTCGGGGCAATTCTGGGATTATTGTCAGATTGTTGCATTTCTACAGCAACATAAACCAATCTTCATTCGCAGGCACGTCTCAAAAATCAAGAAGCTAATTTATCTTACTAATTCAAATCAAACAGAGAAAATCGTAAGTAGGTTCATTACATTCACAGGGATATACTTCAACGCCTTTGTGCTAATTTTGATCATTAGGCCGTAAAGTAAATAAAAATAATCATCAATTTTATTTATAAAGCGCTTTAACACCAGTCACAGCTGAAGCAAAGTGCTGAATATCAGTAATAAGATTAAAAAAAGTGACAAAGATAAGCACGCAGTTTATTAAAAACTAAATTCAAAACAGAATCAAACAACTCAATTAAAGAGATGAAATCCATACCAGTAAAATCAAGTCTCAGTTGGGTTGAAGGCCAGTGAGTAAAAGTTATGTTGCTGGTTTTAAAAATGGAAATTTCAATTTTTACGAACAGTAGAATGTTGCAGAAGACTAATTAAAACACCTTTTTAAAATGCAAAATGGCTAATATGGGTTCAGGGATACAAAGAGCCTCCAGAAAATGATTGCCAAAGATGGTGGCTGTAAAGAGCGCTGGATGCAATAAATTAATGGAAAGTTGAGTGGAAGAAAAAAGGTAGACAATTGGGATAATTGCAAGTTTTCAGGACATAAACTACAACCTGGGCTCAATGATATTAGAATATACATCTCTGGAGTTCAAAGCCTGCTTTTTGTATCCATGGAGACAGTAAAGATCACATCAGGAGAAGCTTCGTAACAAATGAATCTCTGCAGCTGTGTGACATGTGATAATTTTTCTCTGTGGAGGTTTCTGTTGGAGTCTCTGGAGGACCTGGACAATAGTCTGAAGAAGCTCAACTCGAGGCTGTTTGTGGTCAGAGGTCAGCCCACCGAGGTCTTCCCGAGGCTCTTTAAGGTCGGTGTTCCTGCACATGTCATGTTCTCCACCAGGATCTCTGTGAATGTGGTGATTAAGCACCAACGTGTTTATTTGTAATGGGGAAATGCATTTGGACTAGGATGCATGTTATCAATTAATGAGTTAATCTAAAATTGATTGATCCTATTAATCGTCTAATTCATTGATAAACTGCCATTTTCTTAAGAACCTGAGGTCTTTTTTCTTGTTTCAAGAGTATCGACCGTCTGTCAGTAACATGAAGTTCTACATCTTATAGGCTAAATTAAAAAATACATTATTTTGTGTCGGCTGTATTAGATGCTCACTGAATAAAGAGAAAATGGTGGTTTCTCATATTTTTAAACTTAAATATATTTATAAAACATAAGAAAACGGGAAACTCAGGCTGCTGAAAGAGTAAAATATGTGAAATGCTTGATTCGTCATTAACACAAAGATATTCATACATAAACACCTTCTGTAGCTCCATGAATTGCATTAACTTATGAAATCCCATCATGTTTTTCCCATTATGTTAGAGTTTTTCTGTGTAATCTCCTCTGGGTTTGTGTCATCACATCCTCCTCACCTTCGTAGCACATCAGTAAATTTTTAATAACTAGACACGTGAATTTTGCCATTAAGGTGAAACTTAAATTAATGTGTTTGTCAAGTGATTATATTTCCAAACAGAACCGCATAAAAAGTGCATTTTTGTGTCCCAAACTGGACTCTGTTTGGGCCGTTTCTCCTTACAGTTTTGTCTGGCCGCCATCTTTATTCCTGTATCAAATGTGTGGCGCCTCTAAAGGATGACCAGTGGCGCCCTCTTCTGGATGGCGTCCAAACTACAACACTGAAAGGAGGTCTAAACGGGCGTTATTTGCTAGTTGATTGGAACTCATTTTAATGTAATAAACCATTAGTCGACAATAAAATTAATCTTTTTGCTGACAGAGCTTGCTGGACATTCTTTGGCTTGGAAGTTCTTGAAGAGTAAATCAATCAGATGTATTTTTGTTTTTTCTGCCATCCTCAGCCTCTTAGAACTGGCTTATCCACTTCTTTTGTTCTGGTTTACCAACGATGAGGCAGATTGAATACCTGTGGTGATGTTGGATGTGCTTGGAAGTTTATTTATGATCTAATGCTTTCTTCATGTCACAAATTTTCCTCTGCTGTGTAAATATACAGATTTATTTGTGTTCAAACTGTTTGTCATGGAATATGCAGCCAAATTATTTGAGAGAAAGTTTGCAGAGCATATCTAACATATTAAAAAGAAAATGGAGCTGGGTGTAATGCTAGTTTGGGATGTTGTCATTTGCAAAGCAGCCAATCCAGGAATCCCATTCATTTTCCTTTGCACTGATTGGTTGAACCCTCCATTGGAGATGAGGAAGACTGTGGATGTTAGCTCCTGCAGTTGTCCTAAGACGGTTTCTACTGTGTTTGTTAATGCATATTAAGGTATATTTGGAGTTTGAACTATTAAAGGGGTTTTATATCAAGTCTGAAGTATTCATGGATTTGAGCAACTCCTAACCCCCATATATACCAGGAGTCCATTGTAATCTTATTTTTGTAGAAATGTGTCTGTAAATCAGGGCCTGGCCAGTTTGTCTAGTCAAGAAATAAAACAATAAAAGTGAAACAGATGATCTACATTTTTCATGTCCTTCATCTTTGTTTCGATTGTTTGTTGTGTATAATTACAACTAGAACAGGAAATGGCTCACTCTTTTGTTTTTAGTCAAGCTTAATAAATGGGAACACCCAAGTCTGCTGTTTATGTTTGTGGTCCTATTTACGTTCCAATTAAACTGATAATGAAACGGTGGTTGAGACATCGCCCCTGTCTTTCTCTTCCACTGCTTTTTGCCGTCATCTTGATCTTTCTCTTTGTCATCTTCAACTAAATCATGATCTTTGTCTTAATCTAAATCACCTTGTCATCATTTAAATCTAAGCCACCATATTTGTCTCCATCTGAATTATCATCTTTGTCTCAACTAAACCATCCTCATTGTCTTTGTCTTTATTTAAATCTTCATCTAAATCTTTGTTTTGATCTAAATTATCATCTTTGTCTTCATCTAAATCTTTATCTTTGTCTTAATCTAAGTCTTCGTTTTCATCTTCGTCTAAATGATGAACACCACATAAAAACATACAGACATATATTTATGAAAAATCTTATTGATTTAGCTGCATTTCTTTCTTTCTTCATTCGGTTTTATTTATTCTTTCCACAAACCTTTGCTCCTGTTTCGTCCCACTTCAGGAATGGAGCGTGACCCGGCTGACGTTCGAATACGACCCGGAGCCTTACGGGAAGGAGAGGGACGGCGCCATCATCAAGATGGCCCAGGAGTTTGGAGTGGAGACGGTGGTCAGGAACTCGCACACCCTCTACAACCTGGACAGGTCTGAGATTCACAGTGAGATTCAGCTTCCACAAGCAAGGGGTATCATTTAAAGGAGATGGTTTTATGAGGAAAAGGAGATTAAATTAAAAAATTCTCTTTATTTCCCATGGAATGAGCTTCTCGTGTCTCCACAGAGTTTTTAATAACTGCTGATCTGAGACAGGTCTTTTTTCTTCTGGTAGTTTAAACTAAAAACAACTTCTATCCTAAAGTAATGTATGGATAAAGAAATATTTTTTAGCACTTTTAGAACAACTGATGATGATATTCGTGTATTTTCATCACAGACCTGGGCACTTGCTAAAAGAAAAGAGAGAAACTGTAGAGATTTTAATAAAATAGGAACTTTAGTATATATCTAGAGGAGTTCAAGTGCTGTCAGACTTATTCTCAGGAATTACAATCTGAGATATTAATCTCATGTCCATGCATCACTATCTATAACACCTGATGGTGTCATTTAGAAAATAAATCATTTTCATATTATTTAAAGACTGGAGATCGGCCAGAAAATTGCAACCGTACGCAGCTACAAATTGGAGCTTTATCGTGGTAAAATCTGTAACTTTGGGTCTTTCTGGCTGCATCTGACATTCTTAATGAAGCATGGTAGCTTAATGTAATGTAATTTAACACTATATTCAAAATCAGAACTCATTTTATTCTCATTGTTCACAAAAGAAAGTTTAAAAAAAATAGCAGTTTTTAAAGTCAAGTCAAATAATTGAATAAAATAATAAGTATATCTCAATAAATATAAAAATATGGTAGAAACACATAAATAACTGGGATGTTAAGAAAAATTTAACTTATAGAAATTTATTTTATAGATAAATTTTGGTCAAATATTCTGAGTCACAGCTAAAGTGAATCTCCAGAGTGTCAGACTTGGTGGAGCCCCCAGTGGCCGGCTGCTGCCACTGCAGGTCACATACTGCACCCATGTGCGCGGATAAGTGGGTTTTAACGAGTGAGAGTGAAGAACTTTCTCCATGCCTCTCTGCGCTGCTGCATGACCAGTGTAGCGTTATGTAACCAGCGGATTACCGCCGGCCTGTGTGTTAGTGTACCAGCTGGGTGAAGCTGGGCTTTGTGCGTTCCAGCGTTGTGAAAATGCGCTCATTCAGAGCGGACCCAGCCAATGGGACGCCATCCCTGCTGCAGATCCTGAGCAGGTTGTGTAAGAAGGAAACTTAAAAAAGTCCACAGGGCAGCTGATCCGTTTAAAACTGAGACTGCAGCAGCCAGACGGGCTGATGAAAACACAGATTGGTTCTGATTCACTCAGATGTTCTTCATTAAGCGCAGGGTGGAGCTGCTCTGAAACTGGGCATAAAATGCTAAACAAAGGCATAAAACAAATAAAATTAAAAAGGTTATTTGTATAAAAAAAGACATTTCAAAGTGCTTTACATCATAAAAACACAAAAATGCAAAGTCACGGAACACACAGTCATTAACTGAAGCATTACATTTTGTCAAATGTAACATCAAAATGTTAATTAATGTTTTACTAATAATGTATCAACAGGTGGGGTTTTATTCTAGATTTAAGGAACCTTGTGCAAAATAAATTCCTTATTTGATAAGTTTTGTTCTAGATTTTAAAAATAAAATCTCAAAATCTTTGAAATGGTTTAAACAGTTCACTTCAGAAATGTAAAGCCAGTTTTAGCATCACATAGCTCCATTATTGTGGACACAGATAGCAAAACTTTTTGAACTGAAATTCCCTAAATGTCAATAAAAACGTTGCAGGAAAAAAATCTACAAAATGTAGTCTGGAAAGTAGCTTTTTTAAGTTCTACCAATAAATAAATTACTGTTCAGCAAATATAGTTTCTGTAGTTTTAATTGTTTACCATGGAAGATAACCGAAAATAAACCTCAGTCTGTGCTTTAATGACTCTCTATAATTCATGAGTTTCAGTTTCCAGGTTGAATTCCTGGAATAAACCGACTTTAAATGCATCAGAGATGTAATCCTCCTCTGCTGTTTTCATCCCTGCAGGATAATCGAGATGAACAACAACAACCCGCCTCTGACCTTTAAACGCTTCCAGACCATCGTGAGCCGACTGGAGTTGCCTAGGAGACCTCTGACTCCCGTCAGCCAGCAACAGATGAACCGATGCCTCGGCAAAATCTCTGACAACCACGACCAGCTGTACAGTATACCTTCACTGGAGGAGCTGGGTAAGCATCTCCAGATCCACCTGCAGCTTTTTAATCCACATTAAATTAAAACAAATGATAACACGGCTTCTGCTCTGTGGTTATCGGGTCAAAGGTATTCAATCATTCATTTAAATATGAAAGCATGTAAACATTATTCTAAGTAAAACATGTTTTGTACATATTTTTGCTGACTTATGAGGACAGTACCATTAGGCCTGTCGGAATAAATTGGTTGTTTTGTTTATTCACTTGGGATTTTTAAAGTTTAATGTTTATTGGTCTTTGAGAATATGTTCTTACTATATCACTTAAACTACTATAATTAATATTTGATTATCAAAACGCACAAAAATATCTAATTTTAAAGACGTGCAATCTCACCTTTCCTTTGTTTTCTGAGCAATAACTTATTGCCTTACTGGGAACATTTTATGACATCACTGACTCAGACACTTCATTGCATTATTGTGAAGTTATTGGAGTAATCACTCCTATTTTTGATGAATTCATGCTGAATTGATGTTGGAGTCGCTCTCTTACGCCGTTTCTGTTTGTTTTTCTCTTGGTTGACTTTTGTTCAGTTCTTCGGCTGAGTTGTTGCTTTTTCAAACAATTACTCCTGGTTTTGGTTGCTGTGCAGCTAGAAAAATTTTGGCTCCAACTTCATTACTGTTGGGCAGTTGTGATCTGTAACCATGGCAACAGGCTATCTTTACAACTGGAAGTAGCTGATTAGCGTCTCAGAAGCTCAAATAATATTTCAACTATGACAAAGAAGGAGGAAATTTAAATCTTTCCTTCAATCCATCATAGCGGACAAAAATTATATCCCTTACTCCAACATCTCGAGAATGTTGAGATTTAAAAAGGGGAAGCAAAAGCAAACGAGGTTGGTTAGCAGAGTTTGCCTTCATCTGATGGGATCTTCCAGGACATATTATGGTTTCATGTCCTCCCTGCTGTCTGGAAATCGAGCTGTTTGCATGTCGTGACAGTCATGTCAACTGTCTTCAGTCAGAGGCCTCTGCAGAGTCGTTGCAACACTGACTGCTACTGAAGATCCCTCCTGGCCACAGCATCTCCATCGACAATGACTCTTTGAAGATACAAACTACGACAACATTTAAATTCCAGTTGGGATGAAGAAAACATTTTTGAATTTAATTTTAAAAAATGAATCCAGGATTGGAACGTCTCAAAGTTTATTTTTTTAAATGATTTTTAAGAAGTTTGTATCTTGAGGTTCTTTGAAAGTCAGTCAAGCTTGTTTTACAGGTTTATTATAGAGAATTATCCCTCCAAATATATTTATATCTTATAAAGTACAAAAATATAGAATAAAAAGAAAATTTTCAGGGCCTTTGTTATATTCTGATGGTTCACTGTTGCTCTTTACTTTATTTATATAAATAAATAAATATGCTAAATGTTCTTATTTTTACAAATGTTATGATTAAGATCATAAAAGAAACGGATAAAAAGAAAAGGATCTAACTGTGAGCCCTGTGGAACGCCAAAGGAGAATTTAAAGCAGTAGTTTTGACAATAAATTAATTATGAACCGATATAAATCTTAGAAACCATTAAATAAATGTGACTGTAGTTTATCTTGGACCCTTAAAATATTATGATTTTTAATGTAAACACAAAAAGCTTTTTTCTATTCATTTTTAACACTTTGTGTGTGGATCTTGAATCCGCAAACAAGCTGTAGAGTGTGGAAATAAATGATCTGCTTACCAAAATGTTTGATATCTTGCTTTCTTTAATCATTTTTCCATTTAAAACCTTGGTTCCCTGCTTCTAGAGAGCTTTATTTTGCTTTATTGGACTACTGTTTTAACTTGATTTGATTTAAATGTGTGTGCAGGTTTCAGGACGGCGGGGTTACCTCCAGCTGTGTGGCGGGGAGGAGAGTCGGAGGCTTTGGACCGACTGAGCAGATACCTGGACAAAAACGTAAAACTGACACTAGATCCGAGCGGCAGGACATTAACGCTTGTTTTGGTGGTTAAATCCTGAGCGCCTGCTTTCGATTTGTGTGAAAAACCCCGATAATAATAACGTAACGAATCAGGATAAAGATGAATACACCTTAAAGTAATTTTTACAAAACTACGTAAAAATCATTTGGAAGACAAGAAATGTAATTAAAAAAAAAACTAAAATTGAAAAGAATTTTCAACAATTGGCTAATAACGTAATATTAAGCAAAAAATCTGTTTTTATTTTATTTATTATTTGTTGATTTTATTTTATTGACAGAACAAAATGTGTATAAAAACTTTAGAGCGAAAACTGAAAAAATGGTTTTGCACATAAGCCTTATTTGTCTATTCATTTATTTTAAAAAGCATCCAATTTTCTATTTTTGTTTATTTATTTTTTTTTTACTTCATTTTTGAAAAAATAGAAAATATTTTATTTTGTTCTCAGGAATAAGAACAAAATTTCTTGGAAAACTATTGCTGAAGTAAAATCTTATATTTTATTTATTTAATTTTTACCCAGTTTAGCAGGATTAGTCCTCCATAAAAATCCACAGAATGAGCAGCATCAGTGTGAGATTATTTACTGAGACGTTTCACTTTTATATGTCACTGTTATAAACTCTAACTTCAATAAGTTCATTTAATATTGGAAATGTTTTTTTCTGTTTTAGTGAAAAACAGAAACTCCTGAAGCTGCAGAACTGATAAATACTGTAGATTTATTAAGCTTTAATCAGTAACTTTTTAAAAAGCAGAGTTTTATTAAACTACTTTTAGTATCTCAGCGTCTGATTGGAGTCACATCTGTCGTTCCGCTGACCGGTTCACACCTGTGCGTCTGTCTCCTCAGGTGTGGGTGGCCAACACTCGGGTGAAGACTTGCTCTCTGTACGCCAGCCCCACAGGCCTCAGCCCCTACCTGCGCTTCGGCTGCCTGTCCTGCAGGGTGCTGTACTACAACCTCAGAGAGATCTACATGAAGGTACTGAGAACACACACAGCTTCTGTCCAAAACTAAACACAACTGTGAGAAACGTCCTTTTTACTGTTTTACAGACAGCTGTTTCTGTTTCTGGCAACAAGCAGAAACAACCAATCAGAGCCAGAG